GGCTAGGCAAGGACTGCACCTACACAGGCTTTTCCTCTTGCTTTTATATTCCTGCAGGAATATATATTTTATATATATATATTATATATTATATATTCCTTATATATTATAAGGCAGGCTTTTCCTCTTGCTTTTATATTCCTGCCCCAAGCTCTCTACTCAGAACTTTGTGAATTCTAAAACAATTAAATATACAAAGGGAGTTCACATTTTAAAATATCCTGTGGTTTGGGTGAATTTATTTTCCAAAATTCCTTTTTTTTTTGAAATACAAACATTTTCTGTACCTCAGCATTTATTTATGTCACAAATTTGAGTTGTGAAAAGCAGCCAGAAAATGAGGTGGTTAAATTGCTGAGTGAATGTCAGCCTTTCTATGTCACAGTGCCTGCTATATAGTAGGCACTCAGCAAATAACTCATACACAAAGGGCATATAGGAGAATGACTAGACTTGTCTAGAATCAATCAAAGTAACCATAGAGAGTGCACTGGACTTCTTGGAAGTTCATATTGCTTTTTTTAACTAAGCTGATGGGAAACTATCTTAAGCAAAAGAAGAGAAAAATAGGCAATGATGGTTACGAACAATAATGAACAATCTTGGACTCTTTAATGACTTTATTGCTCAGTGACTTCAGTTTACCTTTGCCTGGCCTCCCTGTGCATAAACTAAAATGACACGTACCTCTGAGTTTGCTGGGGAGCTTGGGAGAAAAGGATGATTCTGATCCAGGCAGGGTAAGAGCTGATCAGGTAGGACCTACATGAGATGTAGGGAGACACAGATGTAAGGGAAAAGGGTGAAGGAGATGTCCAAGGACTGGGATGCCCCGAGGATCTCAAAAGTAATCTGAACTATTACTGGAAACAGAACTGTTTAAGAGCTATCCCTGATCATTTTATCTATAAGCATAGTTGCTGTGGGTGATGGAAGCTTTAGCCGTGTCCTTATGGGCATGAACAGATCCAGGGAGGAGAATGGGAAAGCCTGGGAACAATGATTGGCAGTGTGAAGTCCTTTTAATATATCTGAGTTCAGTGGAAAGGTAGTTCTCAAATGCAAATCTGGGATAAAGGGCCAGGTAACTAGACGGCCCCTTCCACTTGAGATGATTTTTTTTAAGCTGGGAGAAAAAGAACTTGCGGGGTTGCTTTGGAGAACCAGCAAGAGAGGGAAACATGTCTAGACTAAGATCTAGAAGAAAGTGGAAACCTAAAAGGTAAACCTGTATGAAGACCACTTTCCATCTGGGGTGGGTGAGGAGTTTTTGCCCATTCTAGATGAGGCTGGGAGGTTTATCAGCATTTTTGAGACCCTCAAAGAGCCAGAAAAGTAAATGTTGAAATCCAGGGCCCAGAAGAAGAAGTAGGGGTAAATCTATTAAAATACTCTTTGCCTCACTTTAGGCATTAAAGAATAGTACTCTAAAAACAAGGATGAACCCCGAGTAGATCAGCCCTCCAAAGACTGGTGCACAGTCAAGTCATCACAATCCATGAAGTTTGATTAGGGTGATCACATATATACAAATACACACACACACACACACACACACACACACACACACAAACTGCACACATATATAATTATATGCTATGCCTTATCCATGCCATAGTATAATAGCTGAAACTCAAAGAGAAAGAGAAACTTTTTAAATCAGAGAACAGATTACCCTCAATATAATTTCAAAGAGGTGATACTGAGACTCTTCTCAGTAGAAAGAATGGAACACAGAATATAAAGAGTTGTATTTTGCAAAAACTGAAGAAAAAATAACTGTCAACTGAGAACTCCAACCCAGCAAAAAAAGTCTTCAAAAATAAAGGTGAAATAAAGATATTTTAAACAACCAAACTGAGAGAACATCACCCAACAGATCTAATTCATATTAAAGGACACACTAAAAAGTATTCTCCAAGCAGAGGGAAGAACATCCCAGATAGAAGCTCAAAAATAAAGGAAGAAATGAAGAGAAGCCAAAATGTAAATATGTATATACATATAAATATATACTGATTATGTAACAATAATAATAATAATAATAATGTGAGATCTGGAATGAAAAACATAAAATAATATCGCCTGTAAGTCTTGAGTGTGGGGCCAGGGAATGGAGTGGAGGGAGTGAACTATACTGGAATATTCTAATGTCTGCATTGTCCAGGGAGAGGGTGGAATTGCTGATTAACATTAGATTCTGATAACTAAAGCATGCAGGTTGAAACTCAAGCTGGTAATCCTTAAGAGAATAATTACAGTCTGGGTAACCTCTAAGCCAACAAAGGGGAAGAGGAAAAATATAAAGTGCTCAATCAATTCAAAGTAGGGAAGAAATGAAGGAAAATGGGAAATGAAAGGCAGAACCAATGGAAAATGCAGATTTCATTAAACATATTAGTAATAACATCATATAAAAACAATCCAACTAAAAAACAAAGATTATCAGACTGGAGTAAAAAATATAGCTATGTGCTTTGTACAAGGGACACATCATTTTAAAACATAGGGACACATGTAAAATATAAAGAAAGGTTAAGTGTAAAGGGATAAAGACATACCATGCAAACACTTCCAAAATAAGCTAATATTAGCATATTAATATTAGCTGATCTAAGAACAGTAATATTAGCAAAGTACTCTTTTAGGCAATAAGCATCTCTAGAGATAAGAATGATGCTTTATAATGATAAAAATTGCAATTTGCCCAAAAGAGTTAACAATTCTAAATTTCCATTTATTTAATACACAGCCTGAGAATTTCTAAGCAGAAATTGACAGAATTGAGAAAAGTAGCTAAATCCACAATCACAGTGGGAGATTTTAACACTCCTTTTTT